TGTATGATTCCATTTATGTGCACTATTCAGAATAGCAAATCCATAGAGACAGAAAGTAAGTTAGAGTACCAGGGACTAAGGACAGGGGAGATTGGGAGTGATTCCTAACATGTACAGGTTTCTTTTTGGAGTGATGGAAATATTCTGGACTTTGACAGTGGTGATGGTGGCATGATATCATGAATACTCTAAAAATCACTGAATTATATACTTTAAAATGGTAAATTTTATGTATGTGAATTACATCTTAATTTAAAGTTTTAATATTCTTAAGCAAGAAGGAAGAAGAGGCTGTACAGGAATAGGAGGAGAAGGGGAAAGAGAAGAAAGAAGAGGAAGGATAAGAGTCCATTAGCCTTGAGCCACAGCTATACCCTTCTTTGTGGCCCAGTCTGACACCTTAACCTCCCATTCTGAGGGCCTACTGTGTATCCCCTTCCAGAGGACAGCCTATGGCTGAAGACCCAGCTATTGGCATTGTGTTTCCTGACCCCCCAGCTTTGTCCTTCGCTTCAGCTCTGCTCTGAGTAATGGCTGCTGACCAACTTCCCACCCCTGTACGGGCCCTCTGATTTGGACCCCCAAACTAACTCCCACTTGAGTCACCCCTGAAGTGTGGACACTATACCTCAGGAGTCCAGCCATCCTACAGCCAGTGCATTTCCTCTGGCCTAAGAAAATAGATCTTGGACTTTGTTTCAGAAATAAAGACACCATATTATTATGGGGAGAAGTGCCAACCCCAAACAATATGTTGAAGTCCTAACCCTCAGTACCTCAGAATGTGGCCTTTATAGGAATCATCTAGTTAAAGTTAAGAAGTCATTAGTATTATAGCGGGTCCTAATTGAATATGACCGGTATCCTTATAAAGAGAAGAAGTTTGGACACATACACACAGAGGTAAAACAACAGATGGAGAATATGGGCATATAAGTACAGTCATGCAACTATAAAGCTGGGAACACTAAGAATTACTGGCAAGCACCAGAAGGTAGAAGAAGAAAGGAAGGATCCTCTCTTAGAGCTTTCAAAGAGAACAGGGCCGTACCAACACCTTGATCTCAAACTCCAAGCCTCCATAACTATGAGAGAATTGATACCTGTTGTTTTAAGCCACCTCATTTTTTTAAACTTATTTTTTATTTAATCATATTATACATACTATCTCACAGTGGTTATATTAGTTTCAAGTGTACAATATAATGATTCAACATCTTTATATTACAGCTTCCATATCTTGGCTATTGTAAATAATGCTGCAATGAACATAGATGTGCAAATATCTTTCAAATCAGTGTTCTTGTTTTCTTTGGATAAATTCCCAGAAGTGAAATTTCGGGGTTGCATGGTATATCTATTTTTAGTTTTTTTTAGGAATCTCCATATTGTTTTCTATAAGGGCTGAACCAGTTTGCAGTCCTACCAACAATGCATGGGGTTCCCTTTTCTCCACATTCTCACCAACACATATTATTTTTTGACTTGATAATAGCCATTTTGACTGGTGTGAGGTAGTATCTCATTGTGATTTTGATTCGCACTTCCCTAATGATTAGTGATATTGAGCATCTGTCCATATGTCTTTTGGCCATCTGTATGCCGTCTTTGGAGAAGTGTCTCTTCAAATCCACTGCCCATTTTTCAGTCATAGTGTTTTTGTTGTTGTTGTTATTGAGTTGCATGAGTTTTTCATATACTTTGGATATCAACTCCTTATCATATATATCACTTGCAAATAAATTCTCCCAGTCAGTAGGCTGCTTTTTTGTTTTGTTGAAGGTTTCATTTCCTTCACTGTGCAGAAGCTTTTTCACTTAATGTTGTCCCATTTGCTTATTTATTTTATTTCCCTCCCTCACGGGGATGTATCCAAAAAAAAATATTACTCAGACTGATATAAAACAATTTACTTCCTATGTTTTCTCCTAGAAATCATAAGGTTTCAGGCCTTACATTTAAGTTGTTAACTCATTTTTACTTTATTTTTGCATATAGTGTGAGAGAGTGATCCAACTTCATTTTTTTTGCATGTATTTGTCCATTTGTCCCAACACTTGTTGAAGAGACTGTCATTCTAGAAGTAGATTAGTTGACCTTTTCCATAGATCGCTTGACCATATAAGTGAGGGTTTATTTCTGGGATCTCTATTCTGTTCCATTGACCTATGTGTCTGTTTTTGTGCCAGTACCACACTATTTTGATTATTATAGCTTTATAGTACAGTTTGAGATCAGGGAGCATGATACCTCCAACTTTATTTTTCTTTCTCAACATTGTTTTGGTTACTTGGGATATTTTGTGGTTCCATATAAATTTTAGGATTCTTTGTTCTAGTTTTGAGAAGAATGACATTGGTATGTTGATAAGAATTATACTTAATCTATAAATTGCTTTGGGTGGTATGGTCTTTTTAATAATGTTAATCCTTCTTACCTGTGAGCATGGTATATACTCTCATTTGTCTGTATCCTCTTCAATTTCTTTCTTCAGTGTCTTAGAGTTTTCAGAATAGAGGTCTCTCACCTCCTAGGTTAAGTTTATTCCTAGATATTTTATTCTCTGATGCACTTGTAAATGGAATTGTTTTCCTCATTTCTCCTTCTGATTGTTCATTATTAGTGTGTTGGAAGATGACAGATCTGTATTCAACAGACAAATATTAATTTTGTATACTGGTTCTGTACCAAATTCTCTTATTAATTCCATTAATTTTTTATTAAGCTACTTCATTTTTGTACTTTGTTGTGATAGCCCTAGGAAACTAATACAAATATAAAAGCAGCAGATTGTTTGGGTGTGGATGGCACAGGTTCACACATTTAAAAAAGAAACTATCAAAGACTTCTGGCCAAGATGGAGGTATAGGTAGATATGCTTTGCTTCCTTGAACAACCAAAAGAAGGACAATAACCAATTTACAAACAAAAAACAACCAAACTTGGCAGAAAATTGAACTGTATGGAATGAGTTAAAGAAGAAACATTCATCCAGACTGGTAGAAGGGATGAAGATAGGCAACTGCGGTGGAGAGGACAGGCAGTAAGGCTGCAGACCAGGCAGGCAAGGCAGTGGTTGGCAGACCTGGTGGTCCCACATTCATGTGTGAATAAGCTGAGAGGAACAACTGGAAAGTGAAACAAAGCATGCAACCCACGAGTTCCAGCACAGGAAACTAAAACCTCAAAACCTCTGGCTGTAAAAACCTGTGGGGATTGCAGAAGTGGGAGAAGCTCCCAGCCTCACAGGAGAGTTTTTTGGAGAGACCCATTGAGGCCTAGAACAGACACAAGCCCACCTATCTGGGAATCAGCACAAGAAAGACCCAATTTGCTTATGGGTAGTGGGGGAAGTTACTGAAAGTGGGGAAAGAGCCAAACAAGTGGCATTGTTCCCTCTCTGACCCTTCCCCCAAATACAGAACCACAATGCAATGAAGTGGGTTGCTCCACCCTGGTGAATACATAAGGGTCTTCCCCTTAAACTTAATAGATGCACCGAGACAAAGAAATATGGCCAAAATGAAAGAACAGATAAAAACTCCAGAAAAAGAACTAAGCGACAAGGAGATAGCCAACATATCAGATGCAGGGTTCAACACACTGGTCATCAGGATGCTCACAGAAATGGTTGAGATGGAAGCAAAACAGAGGAAGAAGTGAAGGCTATGCAAGGTGAAATAAAGGAAAATATACAGGCAACCAACCATGAAGAGAAGGAAACAGGGACTCAAATAAATGATTTGGAACAGAAGGAAGAAATAAACATTCAACTGGAACAGAATGAAGAAACAAGAATTCAAAAAAATGAGGAGAGGCTTCGGAACCTCTGGGACAACTTTAAACATTCCAACATCCAAATATTAGGGGTGCCAGAAGGAGAAGAGGAAGAACAAGAAACTGAAAACTTATTTGAACAAATAATGAAGGAAAATGTCCCCAATCTGGTGAAGGAAATAGACCTCCAGGAAGTCCATAAAGCTCAAAGTCCCAAAGATCTTGGACCCAAGGAAGCACACACCAAGACACATCATAATTAAGTTAACCAAGATTAAAGATAAGGAGAGAATCTTAAAAGCAGCAAGAGAAAAGAGGAGAGTTACCTACAGAGGAGTTTCCATAAGACTATCAGCTGATTTCTCTAAAGAAACTTTACAGGCAAGAAGGGGATGGAAAGAAGTATTTGAAGTCATGAAAGGTGAGGATTACTCTATCCAGCAAAGCTATCATTTAGAATGGAAGGGCAGATAAAGTGCTTCCCAGATAGGATCAAGTTAAAGGAGTTCAACATAACCAAGCCCTTATTGTATGAAATGTTAAAGGGACTTATCTGTGAAAAAGAAGATCAAAACTATGAACAGTAAAATGACAACAAACTCACAACTATCAACAACTGGACCTAAAAACAAACTAAGCAAACAACTAGAACAGGAACAGAATCACAGAAATGGAGATCACATGAAGGGTTATCAGGGGAGTGGGGGGATGAATAGGGGGCAGGTACAGGGAATAAGAAGCATAATTGGTAGGTACAAAATAGACAGGGAGGTTAAGAATAGTGTAGGAAATGGAGAAGCCAAGGAACATATATATATATGACCCATGGACATGAACTAAAGTGGGGGAATGTGGGAGGAAGTGGGGGAACCGGGCAAAGTGGGATAAAGGGGAGAAAAAATGGGACAACTGTAATAGCATAATCGGTAAAATATACTTAAAAAAGAGAAACTGTCAGTACTACTTATAAAGAGGAACAAACTACTGATACACACGGCAACTTGAATGGGTCTCCAGGGAATACTGAGTGGAAAAAAGCCCACCTCTAAAGGTTGCAAACTGTATGATTACATTTATGTAACATTCTTCACATGACGAAATTACAGCAATGGAGAAAAGATCAGTGGTTGGGGGTGGGGAGCAGGGAGGTAGCTGTGAATGATTCTGCAATAGGAACTCTGAATCTTGGCAGTGTCACAGATGTCTCTCTCCGTCTCAATCTCCCTCTCGCTGTGTGTGTGTGTGGGGGGGGGGGGGTGTGAAAACTGCACAGAACTAAATCCACAGAAATGAATGCATAGAAAACTTACAAAATTTGAATATAGCTATGATTTGCGTCAGTGTCAGTTTCCTGAGTGTGATCTTGTACTGTAGTTTCCAGTGAACACGGCTCTACTTGGTCACCTCCCCCTGCTTTTCTCCAGCAGGTGTGAGCAGATGGCACGGGCTGCACTCCCAGGGCAGCTGCCCCAGTCGGCCTCACCACGGCTACCCCTCCGCTGTTACACACCAGTGAGGTCTGTTCCCTCACTGTGATTGGAGGGACAGGTGAAGCACAGGGCCACTTGCCCGCCAGCCCAAGGCTCACAAGTGCTGGGAAACTTGAAAAGGTGAAGTCGGAGCGACAGGCGGAGACAAGCTAAGGAAGGTCAAGAGGGGCAGGAGTCCAGTGTGGACGTCCACTGGCCGCGATTCCTGGAAAGACCTTGCTTCCAGAAGGTTTTGCCCACTTCCTCTGCGTGGGTACATGAGACCGAATGTACTTTTGGGGTCACGAGAAGCGAGGAGAGTAGGGGGGAGAAATGCAGTCCTCCGCAGGTGACAGCCCGGGTCTCTGCTCTGAGCGGCCCGCGGTGCTCCAGGGACTTGGGGCGGCGGCACGGGCATCAGCCGGGGCTTTTTCTAGAGGAGGGGGTGGGGATGCTGAGTCACAGATCTCTCCTGCTTCTCACCTCTCCCCAGCCCTCCGGGGGCTAAAGCAAAAGCGAAAGCGAATGCTACGCTAGGCGGCTAGTCCAGGGAGCTTCGCCGGTCACCTCCTCAGGGACCGTCGGGCTTTTGCACACGCTCGAGGCAAGGCGTCCCCGCCAGTGCGAGGAGATGGTGGTCGAGGGTAAAGCCATGGCCCGCCTGCGGATCCGGGACTGCTGGCTCAGCGACCTCCCCACGCTGCTGCTGCTGCTGGTGCTGCTCCGGCCGCCGGCGACGCTGGGTAAGGAGAGGCGTGCGCCCTCGGCGGGGCGGCGGAAAAGAGGCCCGGGCGCCGCCTGTAGACAGCTCTGGGAACCCCACCTACGGCGCCAGCGAGTCGGTCTGGGAGGAAAGAGGTGTGAGCCGACCTCAGAGCGGGCGCTGCACCTCCTGGCGGGGAACACGTGGAAGGAGCGGTGGCTAGGGGCAGAGCGCGAGTCCTTACGCCCCCACTCACCTTGGCTGTCCAGGTCACTTAAGGGAGAGAGCTGCGAGGCCAGGCTTTTAATACGACCTCTTCCCGATTTCCGAGGCAAAAGAAAAATTTCGGAGTTTGCAGTGGAAAATCCGAGTTGGAGTTTTACTGCAATTTGTAGAAATCGTGAGTGCTCTTCTCCGAGTCCTAGGAGGAAAGCTGTGCGAACGTTGCAAAGCAGGCAGTCTCCGTAGACTTCGGAGGAAGACGACCCCATCAAAACCCTCAGAAAAAAAGCAAATCACCCGGGTGGGGAGTGGTAGGACGGGGTAGGGACTGCGTCCCTGGGAGAGAAAACGTCTCGGGCAGGTTGTACATCCGGGGAATTTGGAAACAGCTCCAAATTCTTGAGCAGCAGGAACCTGTGGGAGGGCGTAGGGTAGTGGGGCAGCCTGGAGTACGCGCTCCCCCGCAAAGGGGAAGAAATGAAATCGGTGATAGTTTGATGTGGTTCACAGAGATGTAATTGCAGGGGGGAAGAATCGAAAGAGTGAGTGATAGATTTTTCTCCTGGGAGCTAGAGTGGAGGGAGAAGAAAGGATGATAGATATAGATGGGTCTGGTGTTATCCATGTTGGTGCTGCTTTTTAGTTTGAAAGCTCCTGGAGGGTCTGATGAAAACTACGAACCCTCTGCCCAGAAAAATGCATGAGTGCATATATTTACAAAACGTACATATAATTTTGGGGTCATGGACCCACTGAAGGCCATCCATGGACTCCCCAAGGGAGTTAGTAAATCCATTCTATCTCTCACTTCCGTGTGTGTGTGTGTGTGTGTGTGTGTGTGTGTGTGTTTAAGGCAATACTCCCCATCATTTACATCCAGTCAGTCAGACCAGTTTAGCCACTACCTGATCACAGACATCCACCCTGGCTGGGCTGGTGTGAAACCCACAGCTCTGTGAATTCCATGAAGTTTTATTTTCATAAGACTGTCTTTGGAGCCCCCCACCCCCATCTGGTTATCTGAGTTATGTTGTTGGGTCCTCCCAGCTGACTAACCAGTATCCTACATGACCTTTAGAAGATGCAGGAGATAGCCAGGGGATTTCAGCAGCCATGTAAATGAAATGTAGCTTTAGTCAGAACCCAACAAAAATGAGCTATCAAAGTGCAAAGAGGAACGCTGCAGTCCAGATCTCTAAAGCTCATCGACTACAGCTTTTGTCTTACAAAGTTAATGCTGCCAGCTGTAACTCCTGATGTTTCCTAGTTTTTCTTACACAGCTTTACTGAGGGATAATTGACAGCTAAACTGCATACATTAAAATTGCATGATTCAATAAATTTAGAGGAATTGTATACACTCATATAGCAATCACCATGTTCAAGAGAATAAACATCATAGTCACTACCAAAGGTTTCATGTCCTTCATATGCCTTTCCTCCCAAATAGCCCTGTCTCACAGGCAACAACCATCTGCTTTCTGTCAGTACTAATTTGTTGCATTTTATAGAATTTAATGTAAATGCTATCACAGTATGTACTCTTTCATTCATAGTAACCATTCTAAGAATTAATCCACATTGTTACTTGCATGAATAGTACCTTTCTTTTTATTGCTCAGTATTATTTCATTGCATAGATATCACCCAGTTTGGTAATTCATTCACCTGTTTTTTTTAAAGTACCTTTATCTTTGTATTTCTTCTTCTAGTTTTCTTTTTTAATTATATTTTATTGGTTATGCTATTACAGTTTTCCCAATTTTTCCCTTTGCTCCCCTCCACCCAGCACCCCCAACTCCCTCAGGGAATCCTTATACTATTGTTCATGTCCATGGTCACAGGCATAAGTAAGTTCTTTGGCAACTTCATTTCCTATGCTGTACTTTACATCCCCATGGCTATTTTGTAACTACCTATTTGTACTTCTTAATCCCCTCACCTCTTCACCCATCCCCCCACATCCCCCCCAATCTGGCAACCATCAAAACACTCTCTGTGTCCATGATTCTGTCTCTGTTCTCTTTTGCTTAGTTTGTTTTTTAGATTCAATTGTTGATAGATATGTATTTTTTGCCATTTTATTGTTCATAGCTTTGAACTTTTTCTTAAATAAGTTCCTTTAACATTTCATATAATAATGGTTTGGTGATGATAAACTCCTTTAGTTGTTGTTTTTTTTCTTCTTCTCTGGGAATCTAGCTCCCCTTCAATTTTAAAGCTTTGCTGGGTGGAGCAATCTTGGCTGTAGTTCCCCACTTTTCATGACTTTAAGTATTTCTTACCAGTCCCTTCAAGTCTGCAAAGTTTCTTTCAAGAAATCAGCTGACAGTCTTATGGGAACTCAACTGTAGGTAAGTAACTTCTCTTTCTACTTTTAAGGTGCTCTTTACCTCTGACCTTTGGCATTTTGATTATGATGTGTCTTGGAGTGAGTCTCTTTGCATCCATCTTGTTTGGGATTCTCTGTACATCCTGGACTTGCATATCTATTTCCTTCACCAAATTAGATCAATCTATTTCATTCATTATTTTTTTCAAATAGATTTCCAATTTCTTGGTCTTGTTCTTCTCCTAGCACCCCAATGATGCAAATGTTGTCATACCTGAAGTTGTCCCAGAGGCTGCTTACACAATCTTCATTTTGGGGGATTCTTTTTTCTTCTTGTTGTTCTGGTTGGTTGTTTTGTTTTGTTTTTCTTATGTTCCAAATCATTGATATGATTCTCAGCTTCATCCATCCTACTGTTGTTTCCTTGTAAATTGTTCTTTATTTCAATTAGTGTATCCTTCATTTCTTACTGGATCTTTTATGCTGTTAAGGTCCTCACGAATTTCCTTGAGCATCCTTATAACTAGTGTTTTGAACTCTGCATCTGATAGATTGCTTATCTCCATTTTGTTCACTTTTTTCCTATGGAGTTTTGATCTGTTCTTTCATTTGGGCCATGTTTCTTTGTCTCCTCATTTTGGCAGCCTCCCTCTGTTTGTTTCTATGTATTGGGTTGAGCTGCTATGACTCCCTGTCCTTATTGAATGGTCTAATGTAGTAGGGCTTCTGTAGGGTCTAGTGGCACAGCCTCCCTTATCACTCAGGTAATTGAGATGTGCCCTTTGTGTGGGCTTGGTATGCCCTTCTTTTGTAGTTGAGGCTTGATTGCTTTTGGCAGGTCAGTGGGGGGCATTTACCCAGGCCAGTCAACTGTAAGACTACCTGTGACCACTAACCACCAACCTCCCTACTCCATGGATCAGCTGTGCAGGGGTAGGATGGTGGTACTCTGAAGTGGTCTGTAGCTGTCCACTGGGTGTTCTAGCCTTGCAGTCTCCTGGGTGGTGTAGGCCAAGGTCATCTCCCACCTGTGTTTTGCCTGAGACCAGCTTGCCTGAGCTATAAAGCAATCTGAGATGGCAGCTATGTGTGCTGAGCTTCGAGATTCCCAGGTGAAGCCAAGCTATGAATCTAGGCTGGCTGCTGCTAGTGCCCAGTCTGGGACTGGGGCTCATTGAGACCAGTTGTTGCTTGTTTGAGAGTATTTAGGAAGTTGTGAAGCATGAGCTAAAACTAGCTAGTCATATGGAAAAGTCAGGGTTAACAGTTTGGGTGGGCTCATAAATTGGGTGGCAGAGTCTCAGAGGATCTTCAGAGCAAGGAAAACAGTGTTAGCCAGGTTGACAGAGTCTCAGACATGGCACCTGCCTGCTGGCTCTGTGGCTTTGTGGAGGAGGGTTTCGAAAAGGGACAATGGCCTCTGCCCACCTTTCTGTCTGGGAGAAAGCTGTCCCTCAGCTCTTGTCTTGATGCCAGACACTTCAGTTCCTTTCTCTATGCCACTGGTGCCTTTCAAGCTGCTAGAGATATGAGGGAGTGAGTCTGAGTAAATTTGTAAATGGGTTTTTTAAGAGGAACTGCTTGGGACTCCAGTAGTTTCTTCTACCAACTCAGTCCCTGATAGCTTTTGCAGCCAGAAGTTGTGGGGACTTAACTTCCTGGCACTAAAACTCTGGGCTAGGGCCTTATGTGGGGCTGGGACTCCTTGCTCCTGAGATATCTCTCCCCCAAATTTTTATCCACCACATGTGGGCATGTGACCAACCCATTCTGTGTCTCTGCTCCTCCTACCAACCTCGATGGATGTGGTTTCTTTAATTCCATAGTTGTCAGACTTCCACTGAACTCGATTTCTGACAGTTTTGAGTGATGGTTGTCCTATAGTTTAGTAGTAATTTTGATGTGGTTGTTTGAGGAAGTGAGCCATGTTAACCTATGCCACTATCTTCACTGGAAGTCCACTTCACTTGTTAGTGGACATTTGTGTTGGTTTGGTTTTTGGCCATCGCATATAGAGTTGCTATGAACATTTACATTTAGGTTCTTGTGTGGACATAGGAGTTTATTTTTCTTGGGTAGAGAAAATGATTAGGAGTGGAATGGCTGTATCATATGACATGTGAATGTTTAATTTTTTAAAAAGATACTGCCAAGCTATTTCCCAAAGTAATTGTACTATTTTACATTTCCACCAGCAGTGGGGGAGGGTTTTAATTCCTCCACATCCTTGTCAGTACCTGGTATGATCAATTTTTAAATAGCTTTTTAAAAGATTTCTCCAGCTTCATTGAGAGAAAATTGATGCATAACATTGTATAAATTTAAGGTGTACAGTATGATGATTTGATATACAGTATATTGTGAAATGATTAGCACAATAAGGTTAGTTAACACATCCATCACCTCACATAGTTACCAATTTTGGGTGTGTAGTGTGTGTGGTCCACCTTTTTTAATTCTACTCATTCTAAAATGGGTGTAGTGGT